TATGAATATGTTTCTGAATACAAGATCTAATTATGGAGCTTTAGTGTAACTATGTTCTACTGATTCCATTTTTTCAATTAACACAGATACTTATATTTTTGTGCTCAAATTGCTATCAATAATTCTTAGTCACATCAGAAAGAAGTTTCCATAACATAATGCTGATCAAATGTCATGAGAAATAGCTAGAATAAGCAAAAATACGGGATTTCATATTTATTCGTATGGGTATATGAGTTTACGGTGAGAACTATATATTTATATGGTGAGTTTGAGTTTTCGACTGGTAACTTTTTTGTTGTATAAATTAAAGTATGTTATTAAAATTAAATTAAATTAATTTTTTTGAATAATAATGATATTTATTACAAATTTATTAATAAAATAATAGAAAATTACCAACTTAAAGATAGTTAACTTGAGGTTTAAAAAAAAAAAAAAAGATATTTAACTTAAAAAAACTATTTTCTAATATAATGCTGGGCCATTGCATAACGTATTTATAATCTTAACATCTGTACATCCGCGTCAGTTCATTAGGCAAGAGGGAAGAATGTTGATCCGTGGACTCGTTGAATGTCTATAAGCCTCTTGTTTTTCTTTTTTTTTCTTTAATATCTATGCCCCTTGTTGTGTGTCCAAGGAGTTGTAGATTAGGTTAATTATTGCTAGGTAGCTAGAAGTAAGAAGGTGCAGAAATATTGCTTGTTCGGTGTAGTGGCGGATCCAGAAATAAATTTTACCCGGGTCAATATTTTTTTAAAAAAATATTTTTATAAGCAAATGAAAAAAGAGTATATAAACCGCTGTTATTTTTTAATTTTTTAAAGTATATAAGACAAAGAAACATGCATTTAAGTTGAAATAGAAAAAAAAAGAGTAAATATGTCATTTGGGATGCTTGAACCCGGGTCAATTGTTAATTGTTGCTAGGTAGGTAGAAGTAAGAAGGTGCAGAAATATTGTTTGTTCGGTCTTCGATGTATGGGCATGGATAAAGTAGCCATATCGATATCATAGCTCGTTAACGACTGACGAGGCTAAGGTAAGAAGATAGACGCGAATAGAGAAGTTGTTTGTGGTTGAGATGACTGAGCGATGTGGTGTGATGCTTGTAGAATATTGTAGAGTAGCGATTCAAGATGACGTGTGATGCTAGATTGTTAGATTACCTGATTGTATGTATATCTAAGCTATGACTATGTGTCTGGAGCGTATGAGATGGTAAGACATATGATTGTCAAGGAAACAATACACCGTAGAACATGAGGAGTAAGGTCAACTCTTCAACCCAAAATTATAAGGTTCCTGGTACGAATTTCTTGGTGCCCAAACACTTTAAAGTATATTGTAATTAAGTGGGGGAGAAGTAGCAGCCCATGTTGCAGGCATATGCGTTCGGGTATTCGGTTAACAAGACTTGGCAGTGATGGTTTGTAGAAGATAAAGATGGATGGCTTCATAAACTGGCGATCGTTCTCTTTTGTGAAGGATTGATGATCGATAATTTAAAAATGCAAACACAACAAGAAAACAAAACAAATCAAAGATAGAAGGGTTGTTGCGGCGTCGGTGTTGATCCACACCAGGTGGGTGTCAGTCGACACCGCTTGTGTGTCGAGGTGACGATAGACACCAAGTGAGTGTCGGTCGATACTAGGTCCGGCTGGTAAGCTTTCTGAAATTGCCTGGTTTGATTTGTTGATTGGTTATTGCTTTGTGTCTTGATTTTTCTATCTTTCTTGTGTGTATAGCATGTTGATGGGATGATCCCTTCACTAGATATTTGTGATAATACTTACGCATCTCTTTATTTATGGTGCATGTAAAGATAAGATGTGACGTAAAATCATTGCAAGGAAGGCAGGATGATCTAAGAACTCGTTGTGGTTGTATCTTTTATGTTATATTATTGGAACCTTGTTCAGAAACTGTTAGGATTGCTGATTATTTCTAGTTATATTAGATTATTTAATCTTGATAATTGGAGTTGTTGGTTGGTTATTGTTTGGTTTATTGGTGGATTTAGTTAAGTATTTGTGGAATTATTTAATTCTGATGTTTTTCAAAAAAAAAAAAGAATGGGTCGGGTTGTCTCACAAAAGAATATTTAGCTTTTATTTTTTGTTTAGTTTCGTGACAAACCCCAAAACCAAACACCCTCTTTTGATTTGTCTTAGACATATCCCTCTCCATTGAATTCGTAGTACTTATAAGTCTCTGTGGAATTGATCCTTAAATACAACATCCGATTAATTGTGCACTTGCAGTATTCCGTGTAGTCTCTAAGGGAAAATTTTGAGGCGAAATAAAACATGCATCAGCCAGTTCTAGCAATAAGATGGGGGAGACATCACCGGAAGAGGTGAAATAATTTAACAGGAAACTACCACTCAACACCAAACTACAAAGACGACCGCCACCAAACACCTTCGATTAAGATAATTCGAAGACCCAACCGTGAAACTAATTGTTAAGTGATATTTTTAAGATATTTTATAGGTTTATTTTATATGTTTATCGAGTCTTTTATTCGGGAACAAGTCGTTCTCGATAAAAATAATTGTTTTAGGAATTTGGACATTCAAAACAAAAGTAAGCATATTGAAGACGAAATGAGCCGAAAATCATCAAAAGAAAAGAAAATCCATTAGGAGACCTGTTTGATGGAGTTTTGCACCAACCAGTGGAGAAACACGTGGGCCACCGATCGATTGAACATGTCCACCGATCGGTGGGCTTTTATTTAAACCGCCTCTTTCTCTCTTCTAGGGCTGCGTCCCAATTCCTATATATACTCTTGTATTATGTAGCTGCAGAGATATGCTTTACTTTTACAATTTTATAGTTCTAAAGTGTTCTTCTCTTCCTAAAATCTTTTCTTTATTGTTTATGCTTTAGAATTTAGATTTCTTTGGTAGATCTCCTTTAGAACTCGTGATCTATCTTCTACAATGATCACACATATCTTGGTCATGTGTGAGTAGTCTTATCATGGAATTTTACCGATCGGTATAACACCTCACTGATCGGTACCGATCGACTAGCTTTTTTATCGATCGATTGGAATCCCCAAGGAGATCGATTACATGTTAGACCTAAGTGAATTTCTCTATTATGATCTTTAATTGTCCTCTATCTTTAGTTGTTCTTAAAGCCTTAGATGAATTAGGCCAATTCACCTATTGTCCATGATCTAATTCCTCAAGCCTAACCATGGTGTTGAATTTGATAGATCTACTATTAGATAGCCATCTTTGACTAACCTAACCAAAAGTTGTAGATCATAGGGTTTTGTGAATTTATTGGATTCTATTCTTATTGCGTGTTTGGATTACTTGGAACCAAGCTTAACCAAGGTTTAGGAAGCCATGTATTCCCTTCATAGGAGTTATCACTAATACACCCCTAAGGTAATTTAAATTAGAAGTTTGATTTCAAAAACAGTTTAGAATCATTATCGAACTTATATGTCTTTCATATATTCTCTGATGAATTCTCTGAAACTCTATTTTTTATATTATTATATATATTATAGTATTTTATTATTTATTTATTTTAATTATTTATTTGACTTCTGCAAAACACTCTAAGTTCTTGTAATTCTCTGTTGTCCTAGCTAAGTTTAAATTCTTTGCAAATCTTTTGTGTGGTTCTTTTGTCTCTGTGGATTTGGTTCTTCCGCTAGCACCCGCCTAGCAGTTGTTAGCGGTCGGTTGCGGTTGTTAGCTGTTGGTATCAATCATAGAAACTGCTCCATACCGCTTTGAACTACTCGAAATTGCTAGATTTCAAAAGCTCCTTCCCGCAAGCGTTTTCGGTTGCGGGCGGTTGCGATTGGTTTTAAAAAAGAAAGAAACTAAAAAAAGAAAAATGAACAAATTAAATTATATATGATCAAGTCTTATATATATATATATTCACGTTAATTCTAAAAAAAATTTTTATCTAACTTTAACTTTCCAATATTAATAGTTATTTTTGTTTTCAATATAAAATTAATTTTAATAATTATTTATGGTTTTTAATCATTAATTATATTTAAAAATTTATACTTTTTTATAATTATAGTTTTTGGTGTTTTTATACTTTCTTATAATCATATATTAAATTAATTTTGGTAAATTTTGGTTTAACCGCTATCGTACCCGCTGATCAACCAGTCGTAAATCTCCTGCAAACGTACCCATTTTCAACCGCTAAACCAGTCAGTCAAAACACTAAATAACGCTTGAAACTGCAACCGCCCGTTTCTGCAAACTTCCACAACCGCAACCGCAACCGCTGCGTTTAAACCAGTCAAGTCCTAAGTACTACTATGTTTGCATGTGCACTTGCGGTTATTATTATGTGTAAAACTTTTATAGGTAAAATTTACTCGTAACAAGTTTTTGGCACCTCTGCCAGGGACCAATTAGCAAGCGCCACTAGATTAATTTAGATTTGAATTTAGTCTTTAATCTTTATTATTTTATATATTATTAACTAATTAAAAACCTTCTCTTCTTTCAGGTGAATGCAAACAAAGCGAAAAGAAAATTCCGATTTGCTAAACCCTGCAAACCCTGAGCTAGCTAGTTACGAGAGAGATGGCAACAAATCAAGGAGAAGTAGAAAAAAGCGCAAAACAACTAGATGGCTGACTTTCAATGAGCTCTTGCTGCAGACGGAGAAAACTTGGATCAACCATCTGCCGATCGGTGCACCACCATCAGCGATCGGTGCACCACCAGCAGCGATCGGTGCACAGCTTCCCATTCCGCCGATCGGTCAAAATCAACCACCGATCGGTAACCTGCCAGTCATTCCATCAATCGATAACCTGATGGGCTGAGGCTAATGAAGTTTCTGAGGACTACCTGAAGCTTACATTATTTAAGTTCTCTTTGGGAGACAAAGCAATAAACTGGTTAAGGCTTGTACACTTCGGTTTAATCACCACCTGGGTTGAATGCAGAAGGCGGTTTCTTAATGATTTCTTCCCTAAATCAAAGATCATCACCATGAGAAAAAAAATCTCCACTTTTGTGCAAGGTGGGCAAAAATCCTTCTATGTGACATGGGATCTATTTAGAGGATATTAGAAAGAATGCCCGTACCATGGTTTCCGTCACAAGGCGCTTACGCATATCTTCTACCAAGGCATTCGCGAGAAGTACCAGTAAGTTCTTGACACGACAAGTCAAGAAAACTTTGATACCAACACCGTGAGGAAGGCTACCACGCTAATCAACAATCACGCTGTAAGCGACAATAACAACTGTCCCGACTATGACTGATCTAGGAGAGAAGTTGTCAATAGCGTGAAGAAAATGAGCTTAATGATCTAAGAAGAAAAGTTGACTTTCGGCCAAAATCTTCAAGTAGGCCGAATGGAGAAAAAAACAGAGGAGGAAGAAGCTTGGAATGAAGAGCAAGGAAAAATGTACTTTGTTGGCTTGAATCGCGGTTACAACCCCTGTAGGAGAAACCACCCTAACCTCTCGTTTCAAAATAACAAAGTTGAGAACCCCGAGGATTAATTTTACCCTAAAAAACCTCAAGGGAATTTCAACGGTAGGTACCAAGGAAGAAGGAACTTTCAGCCAAGACCCCAATTCAATAACCAGCAAGCTGCATATCAACCACCACCGGTTCAACCTCCTCCGAATGAGAATAAGCTAGAGGTGATAATGAAGCAATTGATGGATAGCCAAAGAACCAGTTTTGAAGCTATCAACAACAAGGTGTATGGAATATACTCACACTTGAACGGGAGAGTTGACACATTGAGTACTCATATGATGGTTCTAGAGAACATTGTTCAAGTTGCCTCATGGACTAGAGCACCTCCAGGGACCCTTCCAGGAAATTCAAATAGACCAGAGCATAACATTAGTGTTGTGGAGTCGGATTTTCCGCCAAAACGTGTTTCTGGACCTTCTAATGATCGGTCGAGACATGCAACCGATCCGAACGAACCATATCTGATAACCAATCGGTACAAACCCATGACCGATCAGTTCGATAAGTTTGTTCGTCAGAAGATTGCTGAATCTACTGACCTGATCTCTAAGGAAGATAAGGAGACTCTGTTGTGAGACTGGGAGCGTCAGAATCTCTACGCAAGTCACTTCGCCACTTTTAAAACCGTTTCTAAATTTTTGCATGCAGGTTTTTCGTGGCCAACCATGTATAAAGACGCTCACACCTTCATATCAAGATGTGATGTCTGCCAAAGGATGGGAAACATAAGCAAAAAAAAAATGAGATATCGCAGAATTTCATACTCGAAGTCGAAGTCTTTGACGTATTGGGCATAGATTTTATGGGACCATTCCCTAAGTCTGGCATTACGAGTACATCCTTGTTGTCGCCAAGCGCCACCAACGATTCGAGTATGGTAGTCAAGATGTTCAAAAACATCATATTTCCAAGATTTGGAGTTCCAAGAGTAGTGATAAGTAACGGAGGACGTCACTTTATCAACGCAACTAGCAAAGCTCTTTTCAAGAATAATGGAGTAGTACACATAGTAGCATCTCCATATCATCCACAAACGAGCGGACAAGTTGAAATCTCTAACCGAGAAATCTAGTCCATCTTGCAAAAGACAACCAACAAGTCAAGGAGTGATTGGGAAACAAAGCTTGACGATGCTCTTTTGGCGTATAGAACCGCCTATAAGACACCATTAGGTACCACCCCTTTTCATTGTGTTTATGGGAAAGTTTGTCACCTTTCTGTCAAACTTGAATACAAGGCCGCCTGGGACATAAAGGAGCTAAACTACAACTTGAAGACGGCCACAGAACAATGTTTAATCAAATTAAATAACCTTGATGAGATCTGCCACAACGCTTACGAGAATTCAAAGATATACAAGGAGAGAAACAAGGTGTACCTCGACAAGAAGATCATTTGGAAGTTGTTCGTCCCTAATGATCATGTTCTACTCTTTAACCCTCAACATAACCTTTTTCTAGGAAAGCTAAGATCAAGATGGTCCGGCCCCTTCAAAGCCAAAGAAATGAGGCCGTATGTATCTGTAATTCTCGTGAACGAGAGAGAAAAGGAACTCGTTCCAAACGGGCAAAGACTAAAACCCTACTTTTGCAGCACTTGACAAAGAATCAAACACGTCTAGCGACTTACCCAAAGCTCCGGGAGCATAATCTCTAGCCGAAGAAACGTCGAGCCAACGATGTTAAACAAGCACGTTAAGTGGGAAACAACCCACTAGGTAAATACACTTTTTTAGGATTTATAGTCATTTACTTGTGATAGTTTTGAGTTTTAGTTTCACGTTTTTCATTAAAAAAATTAGAGATCTAAACAAAATAGAAAAGAAAAAAACAGAAAAGACGAAAAAAAAGAAGGAGCGGGTCCCCATGGACCGGTCACTCTGCCCATGACCGGTCGCACGAGCACACACCGTACCGGTCGCTACACCCACAACTGGTGTTCCTGCCATTACACGGACCGGTCAAGCTTACCAGTACCGGTCACTACATCTTTGACTAACCTAACCAAAAGTTGTAAATCATAGGGTTTTGTGAATTTATTGGATTATATTCTTAATGCGTGATTAGATTACTTGGAACCAAGCTTAACCAAGGTTTATGAAACCATAGTCCCTTCATAGGAGTGTTCACTAATAAAACCTTTAAGGTAATTCAAATCAAAAGTCCGATTTCAAAGATAGTTTTGAATCATAATCGAATTTACATGTGTTTCAAATATTCTCTGATGAATTCTTTGAAACTCTATTTTTTATATTATTATATATTATATTATTTTATTATTTATTTATGCAAAACACTTTGAATAATTGCAACTTCCTGTTGTTATACTTTAGTTTAAATCTTTGCAAATATTTTATGTTTTTTTTTGTCTATATGGATTAGATCTCTAAATACTACTGTATTTACCAGTGCGTTTACAGTTATTGTTTAGGGTAAAATTCTTAAAAGTAAAATTTACTCGTAACATTAACCCCAATAACGAGAAGAGAGCACACGAGCTATAGGGATCCCTCTCACAACACCGGTAAAGCGTTGGATGTCGAAGCAGTGAGATGCCCTTGATTAAGGGCCCGAATGGCACCATGATTCGGCTCCGGTGCGGTGACCCTAACCGGAGGGTCACCGGTGAATGGAAAAGCGATTTGGGAACGGTCTAGTTTGTCTGCGTGGAGAGTGTGATTACTAATGAATAAATTAAGGAGACTACTAATCGGGTCAGATGGTGCGATTGAGCTGCTGCAAGGTTTATCTGTTATGCAAATTACTATTTTATCCCTAGTGTTTTTCTAAAAATAGTCAAATACGTTCGTAAGTCCAAACGTGTTTCATATATAAAAATACAAATAATGAAATATTAATATATAATATTTATTATAAAAAATGTGGAATTATATTTTTTGACAGAAAATATGTTCTTTTTCGCGGGAAAGGCGGAATATTTTTGGCGGAAAACAGAAAATCACATTGTTGGCGGCTGCACGTAGAATCACGTTTTGGCGGGAAAATGTGGAATCACGTTTTCGACAGATTAAACGAAATCGCGTTTTTGGCAAGAAATTGCAGATCACGTTTAGACGGAAAAACCGGAATCACGTTTTTGGCAGACAACCCAAAATCACGGTTTTGGCGGAAAAACACAGAATCATAGTTTTGGTGGAAAAACTCGTAATCAAGGTTTTGACGGAAAAACGGAAAATCACGCTTTTTTGCGGGATATTCAGAATCATGTTTTTGGCGGGAAAACTTAGAATCATGGTTTTGGCGGGAAAACTCGGAATCACGATTTTGGCGTAAAAACTAGGAATCACGGTTTGGCGGGAAAACACGGAAATCACGTTTTTTGCGGGAAACTCGGAATCACGTTTTTGGCGGGAAAACTCTGAATCGTGGTTTTGATGGGAAAACGGAAAATTACGGTTTTGGCGGGAAAACTCAGAATTATGGTTTTGGCGGAAAAACTCGGAATCACGTTTTTAGCGGAAAAACTCGGAATCACGTTTTTGGCGGAAAAACTCAAAATCTTGTTTTTGACGGGAAAACTGAAAATCACATTTTTGACAGGAAAACTCAGAATCACGTTTTTGGCGGGAAAACTCGGAATCGCGATTTTGACGGGAAAACGGAAAATCATGTTTTTTTGCGGGAAAACTCGGAATTGCGGTTTTAATGGGAAAACGGAAAATCATATTTTTTGCGAGAGAACACGAAATCACATTTTTAGTGGAAAAATACATAAGATAAATAAGTAACGCATTAATAATATTATAACCAATACCCTTTTTAGTAATTTTGTCATCTAAACGCACTCAAATTGGTTTGTCATTCAGAAAAAATGTGATAACGGATCGTAGCCGAATCACATTACCATTCATAAATTTGATTAATCACACCGCACCCAAACTACATCGCTCCCTCACTCAAATCGGAGTCACACCTAAATCGGAGTGCCATTCGGAGCCTAATTACATTGGAATTTAGGTTATGGAGATATATGCTGACTCTATGAATACACCAACTATTTTTAAATAAAAAGTGCTTGCAAACATATTTATTAATGATTTACCATTAAATGCTGGAAAATAATGTGACCTTTATACTTTGTAGGTAGAGAAACATAGTAATGTAACCAAGTGTCTTTCTATACCTATATGAAATTTCATGAGTTTACCCATTTAAGAATTCCACTTTTAAGTTATATCTCATGTTAATATAATCCTTCTCCATACATAGCAAGTAAATGGAGAATATAGTAGAACTCTTACATTGTAGAATATCTATAATAGTGATCTTTAAAAGTCTTTGTAAAAATTTAAGATTGAGATTTTCATTACTTTAACTAGTATCATTGTATTAGATTTGTTCAAACTTTTCCCTTACCGTCAAAATCTAATAGCTAAGAGGTGTTTTTTTGTAGTTCTCTTAATGTTGTTCAATCATAATGAGGTCTTGGCAATCTCTTAATGTATTAGTTGTTTGAAGCTGTTTCTAGTAATGTTGGTGTTACATATTACACAACTTAAGTAAACTATGTCGACGACGTATAAAGTATAAATTCCCCTTTAGTATTTTATGAAAACTTAAAATGACAACCTACACCAATTAC